GACGAAGGTGGGTGCGCCTTTGTGTGTCATTTCTTAAGCGAACAGAATCATGTGGTGTCTCTTCCCATATGCCAACAAGATAAGATGTTGGGCAATGCTTGGAAGCCAATAAGTAAAAATAAATTATTGCCTTTAGGTGTAATATTTGTGCTAAAAAAATACACTTAAAGGCAACTGATTTGCGTGGCTTTGCACTGCCAGTCCTGGCACTGGATTCAAAGTCTGAAAGCTTCCTGCAGCAAACAGCTTCTTTCAGCATGAATCTCATGGCCTAGTGGCGGAAGCAGGTGTCACAGCCACCAGCCACAGCAGTGATGGCACTGTCCTTTCAGTGTGGATGTGATGAGGAGAATTTCAAATGAGATTTCATAATAGAAGCCAGCCAATTTCAAGATACTAAAAGCTTTGGGAAACAGCATTTGAACTAGAAGTGAATGTGGACTGGGAGGCTGCACCGTGTAACAGATAAACGGGACGCTAACTGATTTTCAGAGGGCCGCCATCTACAGCCCTGGACCTCTCCACTCACTGGCGTTCTTTCAGGCACAGACACCCCGCAAGCCCACCGAGACTCACAGTAAGGAAGGAAAGAACAGATGCAAACTGAACAGTTTTGTCATTCAGATTGTTTTCCATTGGCAGATAATGACTATAGGTGTGCATGGGCTGAGGTGTGACACTTCAGAATATCTACACAATGTGTGACATCCAAGAGTAACCAAGGAGTCTGTTATCTCAAACTTTTACATGTCTTCATGTTAGAGACAAAGTCCTCTTATGTAGCTGTTTTGAAACACACACTAAGTCATCAATCGTAGCCATCCTACAGTGCTGCGGGGCACTAGACCTTATTTTTTCTATCTAACTGGAATTGCGTCCTCCGTGGCTAACCTCTCCCCACCCCACTGGCCCCTCACCCTTCACAGCTCCTAGCAACTGTAGTTCTGCTTTTTTTTTCTATAAGATCTACCATTTTTAGGTCTTCTTTTTTATTTATTTTTCAGAATGGGGATTGAATTCAGGCCCTTGCACTTGCCAGGCAAGCACTTGTTCCACTGAGCTATCACCCCAGCCCCCTATTTTTAAGTTTTAAATGTCCCTCCACCCTAAAGTAAGAGTGCTCCTCGAGTCACTCAGACATGCAGCACCATGCTGTGGACATGATCCACACGGAACCTCGTGATCAGAAACTGACAGTTACCCGGCATTCCAGCTCAGTAACTTCCAGCAGTGCCAGCCCAGAGAGGTCTGCTGGTGTCGACAAGAAGCAGATGTCTGGGGCTGGGGAGACAGCTCAGCAGCCTGCGTGACTGTCTGGCCAGCACAAGGTCCTGAGTTCAATCTCTGGTACCAAAAAAGAAGTGTGTGCCTCTTTAATGACTGTAAATGAAGAGTGCACTTTTTTTTTTTTTTTTTGCAATCACAACTTCCGGATTCAAACTTAACCTTTATTTTGATGAACAGACTGAAATCAAGGGTCTGGATTGAAGCACTGGGTAAAATGAAAGCAGTGCAGGAACCAGGGAAGGAAGCAACGGCCAAGCACACGAGGCCACTTTTCACCCTTGCTGAAGGGAAGGAGGCCCAGAGTCTCTGTGGAGCACAGAAAACTTGTGTCGTTATTGATGTTGACACACGCACAAACACGTGGTTAGACATTTTTTAGGAATTCCACAATGGCTGTTGTATTGCATGATGTTATCTTCAAAGTAATTGTTTAGGTTATCAGATATAAACATGCAAAACTAGTTTTTAAAAAGCACAACAAAAATAAAGTTATAAACAATTCAAGAGAAAACATAAGAATAAAAAAAAAAATAAGCATAAACTGCTCCTTTCAAAAGACGAGCAGAGATTGACCGTACAATGATCCAAATTATCCGGCATACATATACATAAATATAAAAAGGTGTGGTATTTTTGGTGTAGTATTTTTTACACAATGGAGTATTACTCAGCTATCAAAAAGAATGAATTTGTGGCTTTTGTAGATAAATGGATACAACTAGACACTGTATTGATAAGTGAAATAAATCAGAACCGCACAGGCAAGCACTGTATTGTCTCGCTACTGAAACCTGAAAGATAGAGAAAATCTGAAAGGTACAAAAGATTCTGAGGCAGGGAAAGCGCTTGTTCAATGGGAGGGAAAACCTGGGATGAGGAAAAAGACAAAAGAAAGAAGGGGAAAAGATGCAATTAGATTTTAATGACTCCGCAAGGTAGTGAATGTTAGGGGCTGTGGAGATGACAGGAGAGGGCGCCAGCCCACCTCATTCTACGACTGGTTTTCTTCTATTCTTTTAAAATCATGTTTCAGGGTAAAAGTTAGCAATTTTTTAAAAATTAATAGACGGAGCTGTGTTCTCCCTTTCAGCTGCTGAGCTGCCTTTATAAACACTATAAGGTAAATCTCACCTTAAATTAAATTCATATTTGTTTTTACATATGCTATTGGAGGAAACTTTTCTACTTTTAGAATTTCAGAAACTATTTCCAGGACTGCGCCTTCCTTGCACTGTCCTTTCTTCCCACTGTTCTTGCGAGGTTCTTGGATTGAGGACGTACAAGCCTTGGGCAAGCGTGGGCACACGTGTGAGCTCCGGTTAGAAGCTCAGCAAGAACCTGGGTGCCACGCACACGGCTTTAGAGATACCGCCAAGCTGGTTGTGTAAGACGGGAGCAAAACATAGTTGGATATTTAAATTTATAAAATGCATTGCAGTAAGAGACACACTGTTACTAAATCCCTTGACAATACATCCGCTCACTTCAAATCCGTTTCTCGTTATTGCCACATTCTGAAGCACTTTTGTAAGTCCTCTTTCCTGTGTGCGCTTACGAGAGATGACTGAGCATACAGCGAAGGAAGGTGGCTGCGCGCCCAGCCCAAGCGCTGCGCGGGCCTAGCTCACCGCCCCATCCGTGGGACCCGCCCTCTGCCTCGTCCCCAAAGTCAGGATGACCGTGAATGGAAATGTTGCGCCCCAAGGCGGGAACGGGGCAGCTACAGGTACTCAGAGAGAAGAGGGGCTTCTGCACTGCCTCCGGAAGGGCCAGGCGCCGCGGGACGGCGGGGGCCAACGCCAGGGGGCGAGGTCGAGTGGGTCTAAGGCGCTGGGACTTCACTGTCACGAACTTTTAAAACATTTAAACACTCGACACGGTCTTACGTCACACTTTGTGTAGAGCTAAGGAAACCTGAGGAAAATGTAACCCTGGAGGAAACAACCCTAAAATTTTCCCCTGTGCTTGTTGTCCACACAACTGCTTTCACTGGGGGCCGAGAGCTGCTGCGAGAATTTTGCAACAGCATGAATGTTACAGGGTTATAGAAAAGGGAAACTTCCTCCATTACTGACCATCTAAATATATTATAGGCCGTGTAAGTAAAATCAGTGTTTTCCTCAGATACAACCCTGGAGAGAGGGCACTGGGCAGTTCCCAAGATGTAGCTATGACAAATTGTGCTGCTATAAACACAAGTGCACATGTGTGACCCACCTGACTGTAGTTTAATGCACGGTGATAGACTTGGGTGTAGTTTTAGTTTCTGGCATATGGAAAGCTAGTTTTTCCAGCAGCATTTGTTTTGGGGGGTTGGTTTGTTTGTTTGTTTGTTTGGGGGGGTTGGGGGAAGTATTAATTTTATTGAGAAACAAATAGCAATGAGATAGTTTCAAAACCAATTAGTAGGACAGTTTCAATAATTAATACATTGCATATTGTTGTCTTCATGGTGGTTATTC